TATATATTATATTTATTTATTTATTTATTATTAATTTTTTTTTTGGGATAATTTTTTGAAAATATTTTGTACAACAATAAGAACTTTTAGAGAAAATTGATTTAAGCCCTGTTTTTGTACCACTATTTTAGAACTCTTTTTTCTTGAACCTATTTCAATTATACTTTCTCATAATAAAATATTTTGCATGTAAATCTAAAATTTTTTCTACTTTTTAACCACATATTCTCCAAATTCCAAAACACATTTTCCTACTTTAATGATAGATAAATAGGAACTTAGGCCTTACTAAGCTACGTTTTTTGGAAAAAAAAAATATTTTTGAATAGTGATTTGATATCATTTTAATCACATTTTTCAATAAAATAATATTATACGCAAACTCAAAACTTTTTCTTACTTTTTAACTACACATTTATTATCATCACACTATTCAAAAATGCATTTTTATAAAAATAATGTGGCCCAAATAAGGGCTTAATATAACTTTTTCAGGAAGCTCTTATATTTAAAAAAAAAAAAAAAAAAGAGAAAAAGAAAAAAAGAAGGAGGAAGAAAAAAAAACCATAAACAGCCAAACGGGCCCCAACCACCTTATTGGGTATCTTTGATGAATTGTCAAGTGACATTGAGTGGTGGAGTGCAAAATAGAGGTAACAGTATTACTCTGTACACACACACACACACAAATTAACGCATAGTAGAAGTACATAAATATGTATGTCTGGTTTGGGGTTTGATTGATTTGAGGTTGAGTGATGTTGAAATATCATTGCTGAAAATTTTTATCATCTACTGCTTGTGCATGAAACATCATATTGATTGATAATCGTGAATCATCACCTAAAAGCTTTCCAATTCCAACTGCTCTCATCTATGGCCCAGTTATAGGGTTTCGAGTGAACCTAATACTGTCATTTTAAGTTTTTCATGTCTAATTTTTTACGTTTATGTTTTGTATTTCTTTATGAATAATATGATTAATGGTATACTAGGCATTTTAAAATGTTTATCTAAGCTGAATTCAGAGTGGAAAATTTTGAAATGTTAAAATTTTAGGTTACAAGGTTAATTAGAGATTGCAGTTGTCCGATGGTAAGAAGCATCCACGTCCTTCTTTATCAACTAAAAAGCGCAGTTCAACTACTTCAATTCTCTGTTTATTTATTATTTATCAAATTGAATATTCACTGATTATATTCAGAAATTACTATGGTCTATCTGAATATTATGTCGACACAAAAAGAGATTATATCGTGATCACATATCATGAACTGTACATTTATGTCTAGATTGTCAAGGCTTGCTAAAGAATGTCTTGATCGTCGAAAGTTGCTTGAATAAAGTAATATGTACAAATTACAATTGTAACACTCGCACGAAAATATGACTAGAAACCTCATATATCGTCAAAAAATGACATGACTTGACTCAATACAAATTCTAAAAAATCGATCTTCATGTTTGTGTACCATCCATGTAGAGACGAGTTTTTCCAGGACAAATGTAATAAAAACAACTTTGGAAATTAGAAACTAAAACGTGATTTTCCGTAAAATAATAAAGAATGTCAAATCACAAAATGACTAAAATATCCTTATAAATATCATATTATTGACCTCGCGAATTGAACCCTCCACGTGACCAACCAATAGCCACTCCACATAATCCTCTCTGCGCACAACAACACACGGTCAGAAGTACACGGTCGGAACCAGCGGGGCTGGTGGCGACCGCATACACTCCGACGGTCAAGTTAGAGTTTGGTGTGATCGGAATAGTGCTCAAGTTATGCAAGAGTGGGGAGGAGAATATATATTTTTTAGTATGGAGAGCTAAGTTGTGAGAGTTTCATTACCTTTCCTCCTTGCCAAGCCTGGGGTACTTATAGACGTAGATCACCGTTGGATGTGGAACACGTGTATGCATCTGACTGTGTGAGGCGTCTGCTCATAGGCGTCAATCAGCCGTGTCTAAAATGGTCGACAATTAATTCTTCTGAATTGTGTTGACATAAAGTTGATATATCACATCAACTAGACCTATGAAGAAGTCACATTAATTAATCCTTAGAGGCAGAGAGGATCCTGATAGAGATATCTTCCTGAAAGTGGCGGTGGAGAGATCTATTAAAGGAGCACCTCCGAGTACATAATGCTTCGGCCTCAGGGGGCACTTCGGAAATACCACGGGTGAACACGTGGCACTTCGGGAGTGGTGTACCGGATGTTCCGAAGTGGTTCATTTAGGGGCGTAACAGTGGTCGCCTAACACTTCGACATCAGGGGGCACTTCGGAAACACCTTGGGTAAACACATGGCACTTCGGGGAGTGGTGTGCCGTATGTTCCAAGCGGTTCATTTAGGGGCATAACATGACCTCGCGAATTGGACCCTCCACGTGGCCAACCGATAGCCACTCCACTTAATCCTCTCTGCGCACAACAACATATGGTGGGAAGTATATGGTCGGAACCAGCGGGGGTGGTGGCAGCTGCATACACTTTGACGGTCAAGTTAGTGTTTGGTGTGACCGGAACAGTGCTCAAATTATGCAAGAGTGGGGAGGAGAATATATATTTCTTAGTACGGAGAGCTAAATTGTGAGAGTTTAGACACATCGGAACATTGGAGGGCTTCTGACTATCCATCAAAGTTGAGAGAGGCTGGCCTGGATAAACTTAGGGTAGAATATATGATCCCTGATAGCATAGATCTTATATTGTCGGAGCCTGATGAACGAACATATTACCCTAGGCTGGGGTGTGTGTATAGCAACCTAAAAAAAAAATTTTTATAGATAAAAATTTATTTATTTTGTATATTATATAAATTCATATTTTATCTAGGTCAAATATATTAGATTTTGATAGAGCAATTACAAGTATATCAA